GAGGGCTGGGTTCGTGCTGGCATGGCTGCGCTGTAGGTGGGACAGGGCAGCGCCATGGGTCTGGGCACTGCATCTCCTTGAGACATCTCTAGTTTCTGACTCCCCAAGGATGCTGCTGGCCACGCATCCCTGTGGGGGGAGAAAGGAGGTATCAGGGACCTGAATGTGAGTGAGTGGGCAGGGGGGTGCAGGAGGGACCCCATCCTCATCCGCTGCCGGTGCGGGTTGTATCCCTCCATTATGAGCCGGGACCATGCGCTCTCCTTCCCCTGGCTCTCATCCCACCTTCGTTATCCGCCTTTTAGCAGCCACGTAATCTCCTTTCTCGCTTCCTTTGCAGCCTTTTGTCCGACACAAAGCCAGCTCCAGCGGGAAGAAGGGGCCGTGGGAGTGGGAAGCAGGCAGTTCTTCCTGCCCTGGCTCCTTAAAACCTGGGCTGCAGCCTCCAGAGCTGGGACACCTTACAGGTGATGCAAGGGCAGGGGGCCGGCCGTGACCCCCCTGGGGAGGATATGGGGCTGGGCAGGGGTCATGCAGCCGGGTTCCCAGCTGCAGTGGGGCTGGTGATGGAGATCATGGAGCATTGCCTGGCCCAGGCTTTGGCAGTGCTCTGGGAGCCCACTGGCACCTGCTGTGACCCAGTCCCACAGCTGGGTGCTGCCCCTGAGCCCTACACCCTTGGTGGGAATTCGGGTGCCGGCACCGGGTGCTTTGATGGAGGTGAGGGGTTTCCCTGCAGTCACTGGTGCTTCAAGTGGTTTTACAGTGGAGAAACCCTGCGTGTGGGCAAGCAGCTCCATGGTGGGCTACATCCAACCTGGGCTCCGCAGGGACCATTGGGCAGTGGGAATTGGACTGGATGGGAGCACCTGGTGGTCCCCGAGGCCTGGCAGGGAAAGGGGAGGTGGCCTGGCAGGCAGCGGCTGGATGACAGTGGGCTCAAAGGAGGCAGGAGACATCAGCCACCAGACTTGGGGCTTTCTCTGGTGCAGGTCCGGGAGCCTGTTGGTGCCGTCACCCTGGGCCAGGAACGTCAGGGCTGGTGCCACGGGGCTGGGGGCTGCAGAGGCGTGCCTGGAGGCTGGCTCTGGTGCCTCCATCTGTGCTGCTTCCAGCCCTGCCAAGAAACGTGAAATGGCACTTCTGCTCCGCGGTGGTGGCAGCCGCGGCCCGAGGGGCCTCACCGAGTGCCAGCTCCCTGCTGCCAGCACCGCCGCTCTCTCCAAGCACCCGTCCCCAGCCCAGCATGGGGGACCGGTGAAGGTCACCAATGAAATTGGGGATGTCTCCCCCCCTCCCACATCCTTGGCTATTGCTGCCAGCTCTTGGTAGCCAAGTGGGTCCCAGGAGGCAGAGCGCAGGTTGGGATGCCCCTGTCCGTGCTGCCTGTGCTGTGGTCGGGCAGCATCTTTGCACAGGCGTTTTGGAGGAGCAGAGACAGGTACCCAGGCAGGTGCAGGCGGTGGGGATGGCCATGAGTGCTGATGGTTGTGGTGGCCCTTGTCACTGTAGTGAGATACCAGGGGGACAAGCACCCTGCTCAGTTGTGCTGCAGCTGAGCCCATGGCAAGCGTGGGAAAGTGGCGTGTTCCTCACCCTGTGCTGTCCCTGCAGCTGTTGATGTCGGAAGATGAGGCCAAAAAGCCATCCCTGGAGGGACAGCGCCTTTCCCGGGGAGGAAAGGTTCAAGCCTTCGGAGGAGAGCTGGGGCCAGGCAGCAGGTTGTCACTAGTGAGATGAGTTTGCCTGTCTTAGCACACAGCCTGGCTTCAGAAAGAGGGTGCTTCTTGCGGGGTCTCTGATTGCAAGCTGGGGACGGTGGGTGGGGGATGGCACGGTCCCTGTCCCTCACACGAGCTGCCTGGGGCACAGCTGCCATCCCGGCGATGTCAGGGCTGTATCTGAGCAGATGGGACACCCCCAGCACGCTGCCTGGGGCAGGGGCTTCATGGAGGGTCTCCTGTCCAGACCTGGGGTGAGGGGGAGCCACAGGGTGGAGGAGACCGACCCCGTACGGGGGTGAACAGCCTTGCTGGGGTGTGAGGCTCCATCCTCGTCTGTCACCACATCTCTGGTCACCATGACAACAGACAGGGAGGAAGGCAGGAGCAGGCTGGCAGCCCTGGGGGGTGCAGGTGGAGGCCATGGCACGGGCTGGCACCCGCAGGGACCCTGTGTGTGTGTGTGTGGGGGGGGGCAGCTGGTGGGACACCTGGGTCCCCCTTGGGCCCCGCGTGGTGGGGAAGGAGGCCCGGCAGGGCTCAGCGCGGGCACTGTGAGCCGCAGACCAAAGTCCCGGAGTGG